ATTCCAGTATTGGTTTCAGCAGGCAAAACTCTCTCCTCATTTTGTAGCAGCACTCATTTTCCTCACTTTATTCTGCTTGGTAAATATGTTTGTTAGTTGAAGACAATGTTGTTAGCTTTCACGGAGAATAAAACTGGAGAGATAAAAAAAGCCTATTTTCCTCCAATGTGGGCACGACAATAAAAGAGAAGATGGAGTGGGGAAAATAAGAAACAGCATCCAAAAAAGAAAATGTTATAAGTGGGATTAGTTTTTCTTTCATGGAGTATACAGGAAAACATTTTCAGGACCTACTGATAGCTATGTGTGCTGTACTATAAAATCCCTTCAGCTGCAAAGCCAACTCTCTCATGCCCTTGTTTTCACAAACCCAACTGCTTCTTTTTAAGAAAGGGCAAAGGAGGTGGAATATCAGTTTAGTAAATGCTGTACTGCACATGAAAGAATTATTTTTTGAATAGTGGTTTCCAAAGCACTTTCAGCAACACTGGCCTGCACATGCAGAAGAGCCTCTTCCTGCAGCTGAACTGGTTCAGCCTCACAAAGCAAGTGAGCATGCAGTGGAGGCAGGCAGCTAGAGGGGCTTTGGAAGAAATTTAACTTCCCAGGAAAGCAGCAGGGCCGGGAGAGAGGGAAATGAGACAAGAGGCAATCCCTCAAGGGGAAAGCAGTGAACTTACTTTATGACACTTTGTGTCTTGCAAACACAATGTGCGTGTTTGTAAGTAACACCCGCTCTTGTTAGCGATAGCCAAGCTGAACTATGCAGCCTGCTTGCTGATCCCAGGTAACTAGAAGCCAAATGGTCCTAGATCATACTATGTTGGGGCTTCTCTCATGAGCTTCGGAGGTGCTGCTGAAACCCAGCAGAGACCTGATTTGCAGTGTGAACTGTTGGGTCTGTTTCAGAGTTGCCACGTGGTTGTCCCAGTCACTGTAGCTTATTTGGCTGTTCTGGGTCTAGCAATGATCAATCCAAACCTCTCTTTAGACATGGTATTTTTGTAGTAGTTGAACAGAAAGGAAAAATACACTGTCACCAGCACATGGGAAACGTTGATCTGTGTTTGTACAGGGAGTGATTTATTTATTAGGTTGTTATCTCTAAGGGAGCATGCACCTCACATGAAGATATCATACAGCTCTGTCCATGTTGGCCTGATTTTCCTAGTGATGTTTTATTTTGCTCCTCATCTTGTGAAGCACACATCAGAAGTCCAGTTAGATTTCTGTGCGTTAGTTTTAGGCAGTTTCTTACTCATGTGGCATGGCAAGGGGAGAGGCAAAAGGAACCATGCATGAGCATTTCAAGCACTTCTCAGATGGACTTGTAAAACTTTTCAGGTGTTGTGGTCTGGCTGCATCACATCCGACTTCTTTCTCTTTTAACTGCGGTCAGTATACATGCTACCTAGCAGTGGCATGGGGTCTGGAGTGTGTTTTCTGCAGGAATAGCCCTGTATTCAGCAAAAGATGGATCTCACTCTCGCATTGTAGATGATGGTTTCCATGTCTCTGAGCAGAGCTATACCTCACCCCACTCCCTTCAAAAAGGAAGGTCCTGCAGAAAACCCTGACCCCAGTAATCAGACCCTAATTCACTAGGGGGAGTGGGGAAGAATTTAAGTCCTTCATAAATAAATAAATACTACTTCTTGTTCCTACATGGTACATAATACAGTGCTTAAGGGACACTTGAAAGCCGATGGAAATTCTTGCTGCTGCCATGCAGATGTCCCTTCCTTAGGTCAGCTCTGACCCTTTCTCAGGCTTGATCTCAATTCCTTTTCCAACTGAGTTTCAATTCTGTATGCAGCTATGGCTCTGGGACTTTCCAAAGCTGCTGTCTGGGAATCTGGCATAGCAGCAGAATGCAATTTGCTGCATGTGACCTCTTGCTAAAACAGAAAATAGGGTTGCCTATCTGTTAAAGAAGTAAAAACCAAAACAAAACAGTGGTACAACTCTCCCAGGTTTCTTTTAGTGCTTGGTAGGAGGAGGGTAATCAGATCTCAGAGAATGGTGTGCCAGGAAGGAAATTTCTTCCCATGTGCAGCATACAATCAGCCAGGTGCAATATGAGGAAGGGAGGTTCGTCTTCCTCTGAAGCATAAGGTATTAGCCCCTGCCAGAGGCTGTGTACCAGAGATCTGATCAGATATGGCAAATTTTATGTTCCTATGCACAGTGTGAAGCTTTGTAGCAAGTCAAACAATGAGTCATCTCATGAGGGGGAAAGGAAAAGAAAGCTTTTATCTCCCAGTGGATTGGAGATAATCTCTCTACCTGGGTATAAACAGCTCTTCACCGCACTGCCTTCTCTCCCCGGGAAGGAAGCTGTTTTAGATTTGTCTGTAAAACAGATATTGAATTGTCACATCTCCCAGGCTGTTCTGCCTGGGCCTAGTAAAGGTAGCAGGCAAAAGGTGTTTGACTTTCATGGTACCTTGGTTGGGCCCCTATGTGTAAACACAGTAGTCTAGACTATATATGCTGTAAGTGCTGGTTGGGAGAAAGGGAGTGCCGGATTCTCTTTGGAGCCTTGGAAAATCTGTGCCCAAACCGAACATATCTCCTATTTTACTATAAAATGGCACACCACCTTTCTATGGACAGTGTTGCATTGGTAATTTTTTATAGCTATAGATGAAACACATGATAAAGCAGATAAAGATGCCACAGCCTCAGCACTTATTTTTCTCTTCAGAGTGGGAATAACATCTGCTAGCATAACAGCATCTGCAGGAGTGGTGAGCCAGTCTGAATACACCTTTCTCAACCATACCCATACTGATAACCATTTGTAGACACACTGTTACAGAAGCTGTGTTAAGCAGCCCTTCTTTACAGAACCTAGCCACCTAGAAGGAAGTACAGCCATAACTCTCTGGCATCTGCCTACTTTTCATTATTCTTCATTAATGAGTTTACAAGGGGCATGAGGAGAGAGCACACCTCTGTTCTAGGAAAGGATACATATCGAGGATGGATGGGGGGAAGGACTTTGCCTCCTGACAGCTCTGCACCTCAGAAGAAACAGCAGGAAGAAAGTCCCATTTCACAGTGGAAACTTGGAATGAAAAAATGTCCTAGAAGCTTTTTTCAGGATGCTGAGGCAGTTCTTGTTTCTCAGTATGTCACAGATAAACCAAGGTGCCTAAACTAACGAAGTATTTCACAGTCCAGTGCTTAGAGTAATTCTGTGTCAACATGACATTCCTCTCCTATACCTTCCCCTCAGGCTTTGCACAGTATGGTATGGGGAGAAAGGGGGATTCACTGATGTTGGTCTATATTCCCATGCCTCATCTCAATTTGGTAACAAAATTGTGGTCTCTTCCTGCCACAGGTTTGCAGCCCATTTACTGGAGCAGGGATGATGTGGCACAGTGGCTCAGGTGGGCAGAGAAGGAGTTTTCCTTAAGGCCGATTGAGAGCAGCACTTTTGAGATGAACGGCAAGGCTCTGCTGCTCCTGACCAAAGAGGACTTTCGATACCGGTCTCCTCATTCAGGTAAGGATTATTTACAGAGGCTGTGATTGAAAAGAGGGAGGAAGCTGCAACGAAATCTGGAGAGGATCAGAGGAGGAAATGGTCACATTTGTTGGTGTGGACTGGGTGAGGGGAGGGAGGACAGAGTCACATTGTATGGGGCAAGGACAGAAAGGACAAGGAGGGAATGAAACCCTGATAGACCTGAGTTGTAAGCAAATTTGAATGCAAATTCAAACCCGAACATCCAACCTGCTTTTAGTTAAAAATCCCTGCAGAACTTCCAGAAAGCAGCCTTCTCTGGCAGCCCTTTGTGACGTGGAGCTTTGCCCTGTAAAGGCTTACCTTTTCACAGACCCAGCTACAGCAGCAAGTTAACCAAATGCTTCAGCCTCTTTAAGAAGCCCATATTAGCATTTTGCCTCACAGTTGGTTTGGCTGATACGCCACTAAAAGTGACTGCAAAACTCCTCCCTGGGGGACCTTTCCTCTATTTCACAGCCCCTGTGGGCTTTACTTTACCATATTCTCTCAGGTGCTGGAGTCCAGCCTAAGGCACAGCACAAACAGGTGTGTGAATCAGTTTCCGTATTGCTCAAATTATGTCTTCATTTATTCACAAAGAAGATGTAGAAATGTGTATGTTGCCTGCCTGTATTTATATCCCCTGGGGTCTGTCTGCTCCAGTTTTACAGGCAGAGTAAGCCTCTGCCCTCCTTTGTTAGGGATGTTTAACTAAATGTGATTTGTGAGCTTTTCTTTCGTGACCATACAGGGTACTCCTGTTAAACATAAAGGCTCATAACTCAGTCACCATAGGTGATCAAAGAGTTTGGACCAAGCAGTGACAGAATTGCTGTGAGGAGGCTCACTAGGTGCAGAAGTACAGCTGGTGCTGCTTGAATCTAGCTGATAAACAAGCCATGGCACTAGTTCTGCATCAAGCTGCTTGGCGACTCCCTTGAATGCACCCCCCAACCATCCTCCTGCAGAATCTGCCTCACAAACTGTGGCTTATGTTTAGTGTATACAAAGGTTTTTAAGCATGTGCTTCAAATCTGGGACTAATTTTGTGTGGATGGAAATGCCAAACATTAATGTTTATTGACAGTGTAATACAGTAGTAAAAACTGATGCCTAGAAATGTCTTTATTTTTTAATTCTGGTACACCACTTTGAATTGTTTCACTAAAAAAATTAGCCCTGCTTAATGCAAAAGGAGTATTGAAAGTGAGGATGTGGACAAGGACTGTAAGGGACACTTTTATGTATCTTGTCTGCAACTCCCCTTATCATCCCAGTGCCTTGCTGCCTGCAAGTTATGCCCCTGCTCTTCCCCTTCTGTGCTGTGAGGCCACTTGAAATGAGTCAGATTAAAATGTTTGTAGGCTGAAAATAGAGCATTCCCAGAGAAGACCCTTTGGCTTGCAAAGCCTCCCTTTATTCAGAAGGTTAAGCTGTTACTTATCTACATTTGGAGTGAAATAACCAAACTAAAGGCTTCATCCTTCGCTTTTTCTCTCCTTCTGTCCGGGTATTCCCCACTGATATTAAACCTTTCAGAGGATATCTGAGTCAGTCTCTAAAAATCTAGATGACTGTAGGTAAAGGGATGTTACCTCAGCATTTCCCAGCTATTAACTGTACGTGAAATGTAAGAACTCTGAATTAATGTCTACCGTAGAGGCATTAAGTTTTTCAAGATTGTAGCTACAGAAAAGCTGGACCCTTGTTCCTCATGACTAAACCAGGAGAACTGCATCTGCTCCCTGCAGTGGTCTTAGCAATAAAGTGGGCCCACAGCCCCACAGCTATTCTCCTATTTAGGGCTGGCCAGGGAAGGGAGGCAGCAGAGGAGTGAGAAATGCTTTTCACCTTCTTAACTAGCCTTACTGCATCTGGGTGGTGCAGAAGCATAGCTGTTTTGTTAGGTAAAAAAGAAAAAGATATCCAGGTTTATGGATGTTTTCACTAGTTTGTCAGGCCAAATCCAAAGAGGTACAAATTTGCTACCTTATTGCTTGGAGTGTTACAGCACTATTTATGATTTTATGCCACTGTTGCATTCAAGGATGCAAATTATGTGGTAAAATCTCTTTTTAGCCTTTCATATACTAAACATGGAAAAGGTAACTGGGTTCTTGAGGCTTTGTTTTTAATTAGATTTTTCAGGTATTGCAATCACCTTATAAAAATGCCCTAAAGTCACTGCTGAGACAGTAAAAGCAGCCAAGATGCTAAAAATAAAGGAAGCTGAACCATGGAAAGCAGAATGGCTTTAACTGCTTCATGCTATTCACTAAACTTTCTGACAAATAGAGCACTGGCAGTTCATAAAGACAAGGGGCAAATGGCACACAGCTTACAATTTCATAGGAACAACTACAAAAACAATAACCCCACACTTGAGAAAACCCTCCCAGAGAATCCAAGGTTACAACCAGCTACATTAGACAAAATGTATAAGTACCTATGGGTTTATGTAGATGATGTTGCAAGGACATCAGTACAAGATGTAATACATAAAAAGACAGAAAACAAGCAGTTTGTCCACTGGTCTCCTAGCTGTTGCGGTGATACGTTCCACTGAGGAAAGATACGACAATTCTGGTGCCAGGGAACTAGGAGGGGAGAGAGGAAGCAAGGAACAGCCTTGCCTGCAGCCCAAAAAGAAACAGCATCTGTATCAATCACACAAGGTGCAGTGCCATTCACTGCAGACGTTTCTGTGGAAGACTGATACCGCAGCAACTCACAGACTATATTCACCCATGCAGAGCAGCAAGTCCACTGCATTTTGCTCCTTAGTCTGCCTTATATCCCTGGTCTAATACTGACTCTTGAAGTGAGCTCCATACAGACTCTAGAAGCTAGAAATAAGTACCTTTGGGATCGTCTGGGCTTTTCAGAAGTCCAAACCATGACACCAAGAGTGACGTAGAGAAGTTCCTGAGGCAGCTATAGCACTCAGGTATCTCCAGGATTTGTCCCACAGCAAAGGTGTTCGGGGGAGGTAAATCTCACAATTCTTTTCAAATCTTTGAGTCCATCCCAAAGTATCTTCTCAAAGTGAGAGTTCTTCCTCCTGTGGATTTCCTAGAATGGAATATCGTAGTAGCACACTGCCTCTGGCCTTGTGGCAGTGGTGTTGCACGAAGAGGCTTTACAGCATCTTCTGTGTCCTCCCCCTGTAAAGTGTAAATTGTTCAGTAATTACTGACACAGAGCAGTGTCTTTGCTCCCAGCAACTCACTGCATAAATCATGGGCTCTACATCTAAAAGTTCTGTGTTCCAAGGTGTCTATCTAAAAAACTGAGGCTGTGAGGAGGTAGGACACTGAACTAACTACTGCTTGTAAAGGTTTGGAGCTTTTGGATGGACAGTCATGTAGCCTGAGAGAGACTGTTTTGGGGTAATAAAAGCTGTGTCATTCTCCCATTTTTCCACAGTCACACACAGAGGCATGATGTGCAGCTTTGCTTTTTCTTCTTTTTTTTGCTTTCAGGGAAGAACCTTGAAAAACAGTGAAATGTAAGACTTTACTGCAAGCATTTTGAGGTCTGAAAATAGCACCCAGGAGCCATGAATTCATGCATCAGATGGCTAAATGAGTCTTCTCAGCAGTATGTAGGTTTTCATTTCCTTTTTCCTGCTGTTTGTCTTTCAGGTGATGTTTTGTATGAACTCCTGCAGCATATTCTGAAGCAAAGGAAAGCTCGTATGCTCTTCACACCTTTCTTCCACCCTGGGAACTCTATCCATGCTCAGCCAGAGGTCATATTACACCAGAATCATGATGAAGGTAACTCTGTCTCATTCTTACAGGATTTACAGGACCTGCCATTACAGAGGCAGGTAGGGTAAAGCTGTGAGGAAATATGTCATTTTCTTGCTCTAAAGTTACTTAATTAAAGCTACTCTCCTCCCTTTGTCTCCAGAGCTTTAGAACAATCAACTAGTCTAGGAAGTCACCTGTCCATTCTCCATTTATCTTCTGTTGTTTTGTCCTGTTTCCTAAGCCTGTTTAAAAGCTATGCCAGACACAGATTAAAAAAATCTGACATAGAAAAGAAAGTTTTGTTGACTCCATTGATTCATTTTTCATCATTCCCAATTAGGTTGACAGAGATGCTTCATGGACTTTTGGTACCCAGGAGATGCAACTAGATGTAACTGTTTGCAGAGCAAGGGAGAAAGAAGGTAGCCTCAGAGAGAAATGTCTAAATCCAAGTCACTTCAACTGACAATCTTGTCATCACAGCATGCCAGAGTTCCTAGCACGGAGCCCATCATGTTGCTCAGCTTTTGAGCTGATTGAGCAATTCACGTTTAGAGGTTTTATCTGTAGTTTTTCTCTCATTTTTACTATCAGAATTATTTTGTTAGGTTACTAGTTAGCCTTCTAGTAGTGTCCACACATACCATGGCTGGCAGAGGTGGTAAAGAAAGAACAGATATGTTTGTGGAACTTCAGATTTGGGCTTCCTCTACTCAATATAAGTGCAGATCAAAATGTAAGTCTGCTTCCTTCAATGGAAACATTAAGGTTTTGTTTTCTTTTAAAACATACACACTAAAATAATTCTTAGTTTCCTCCAATAACAGAAAAAATAGTAAGCCTAAGCCTTTTAAAAGGTCATTTCCATGAAAGCATGAGACAGAATTCACTTTTTCAATTAAAAAAAACCAAAACAAACCTCTAGAAAAATGTAGTGTTATTCACAGGAGAAGAGAATAGAAGTGAGTTAGGATATTGCCCTAGTCTCTGCTAACTGGAGAAAGATCCACAAATTATTTCAAGATTCAAGGTGAGATTGCAGGAAAGGATTGAGAGGTACTGTCGGACCTGGACACGTTGCCTATGGCCAGCCTGACCAAGCCAGAATCAAATGGCACCAACAAACCTTTGAGACTTAGCCAAGACCAGAACAGCAGCAGGTAGGATAATGACACTCCAAAGTGTTTCCACACAGCTGTGTAAATATTTCAGATTAGAAGAGGGTGCTACAGGTCAGGATGAAGTTGAATTGGCAAAGTTGTGCAAGAGACAGTTGCCTGGTGTATTAAGATAGGCACTTCAGAGACCTTTACTAAAATCTCCATTTTTTCCTGAAGCTTGGCATTCACCCACAAGTGTTCCCTCTCTAAATTTCAAACAGAAGTGCTAGCTGCCCACTCAGACACACCTACATTAAAGATACAGAGCAACTTTCACTCTAGAGAGAATTTCACAGGGATGTTGAGTTGGCCTTTTATGTGCATCACTTAAAACCTAAGTCCTTTGCAGTTTAGTCCAACTTCTGTCAGAGCACAGACTGATTAAGAAACGACTTTGATTTCTCCCTCACAGTACTCTGGATGCTGCTAGTACCACTGATTTTGCTTAAAGAATTCTTCGCTATTACTTAAAACTTTTCTTTATAATGACAAAAATTAGTTCTTGTTTTGCTGTGAGAGGGACTTCCAAACAAGCAGAAGAATCTACAGCTTCAATCAGAAAATATCTATGCCAAGAATTTATAGGCAGGTGAATTTACTTATTTTTGTATTTTGACACTCCTTGTTTCACAGAGTCATTTGGGAGAAACTAGCACAATTAAGTTTACCATTTTCCATCAGCAGAACGCAGCTTAGTTAAAAAAAGGAGGATGAATGTGAGAAGCAGAACTTAACCCTGCCAAACTCACGAGCTGTAACACAGGTGTCAATTTGCACAGTTTTGAGTGGTTTAACTTCATAGGTGATGGATCTTTTTTAGAATCCCTCCTTACTCCAGTGATCTTCTTCTGTTTTCTTCTACTGGCTCTTTTGCCCACTTCCTAATAAATTACATATGATCCAGCTTCTAAATGATTTCATTACAAGCTAGATAATCCAGAATCAGATGAGACCAATATTTGCATCTAGTAGCTTAAGCAAAGTGGGTTTGGCTGTGAAATCAGTTGACAGTGGTGCAGGGTATCTCCAAGATGCATTGGCATTGGCTTGGAGTCTGCCCTATGGTTATCAGCCTCTGTCCCTGTAAGACAGATGAGCAATCGAGAGTGAATTACCTAAATCTCCAGTGGTCCTTCTGACACAGCACTGAGTCATTTGATGGGATGCCATACAGGAAGCTTACACTGTCATTCCCCGTACTTCTTTTGTGGGTAAGCAAAGAGTGCCAATCTTTGGGATTGTCATGCCAGCAACTGCTCACACTCAGAGTGAGTGCAGCCCCACCTATATGGATCAGATAGATAGTAATTTTCCTGGGACCTGAATTCCTTTTCTCAGCTTTCTCTTCAAGAAAAGAGTGTTGGTCACTCAAAACAAAGAATCAGACTAATGAGTGAATCTGTTCCTATTGTGCTCAACTTGCGGTCATCAGATGTGCCAAGGAATGAATGTGATGAGGATTTTATTCTATTCAGGGTCATTTGTGGCAGTGGAACTGCTTGGAGCTGGGTTTGAATTGTTTTATGATAAACAACAGCTTAGGCCATAAGGGGATTCTTTAGTTAAGTATTTAAAGAGAAAGATCTTGGAGGAAAGTAAGCACTAATGTGTATCCATTTGTGATTCTTCCTCTTGCTGCTTTTTAAACAGTTCTTGGTCCCTACCTTTTCTCCTGTCCTGGTTCAGAATCACGATGGTTTGGAAGCAGACAGATAGGTCTGCCTCTGTTTGCAGCTTCTCAGACCAACTAATGTTTGCAGAGAGCTTGGTGGAAACCACAGCAAGGCATTCCTTTCTGCTTTCAAGATAGCTGCTCCCAGCCAGCCAAGACACTTTAAAAGTAGGACAACCAGTACAATATTGTGGTCTATATCTACAGGCCAAGAACGAGCACTGTGCATTTAAATGTACAGTGATGAGGGTGGATGGTCTATAGAAGATAGGACACTGAGTAAAATTGGGGGTTGGTTTTCTTTCTACTGCGGCAAAGGAAGGAGACTTTAAGAAAAGACAGCCACAGAGGTACGTACAGTTGTGAATTAATTCCTCTTTGTAATCATTTGGGCTATCCCACATTAGCTGGCCACATTGTGTTTAAAGCTGGTTGGGTTAAAATAAGGATAATATATAACTCTGGTGTCTCATGTCCTCCAGCTGTTTCACCATGAGTACCTTAAATAGCTGTACAAATGCATTTTTCTTGTCTGGGAGCACAAGAATGTGAAATAAGTGTTCTGGAGCCATGTAGCTTCTGCCTAAAATCTCAGGGTTTTCTGGAGGCTTTAGCACGCTTGTATAGATGAACAGCAAGGTGAGTAGGCAAAAGGATTGGTGCCATGTCACTGCTTGGCTCTACATTTTCTCAGATCTAGAGTTTCTGCTCAGGCCTTTCGCTGGGTAAGTGCTGATACTTCTGATGCCTACCTGGGTTCTAGGGCAGTGGGAGCCCCTGGATCTTCATCTCAGGAGGGTCTTCAATGAGTATTGCTGCTTTGACAAGAGAACAAGAGAATCTTTGAAAAGGATCAGAGCAAAAGGAGTGAACAAACAGGCAGCCACAAATAGGCAGCTACTTGTTTGACATGTATGCAGCAGTTTCCTTCTTTTACCATCCAGGGCTTTCAATAAACAGCACTGAAATTTGATCTTTGTTTTTCAGATAAAAACTTGTTAGTCACTGTGCTCTGGTGGTGTTTTTGTCAGTAATTTTCCTAGTCAGAATTGATGGCCTTAGCTAACTGAAAGTTTGCACTGTTTATGTCAAGCATTTCAGTTTGTGAGAGAATTGTTAGCATGTAAAGACACTGACCTAGAGCCATGACTTAGTCCCCTGTACTGTTAGGATCACAGCTAGGGAAGTACGCAGTACGCTCATGCAGAAGTGATTCTAGAAGTCCTACTCCTGGGACAACCCATCAGTAGACAGCACATACTAAATACAACAAGGTAAAAATATCCGTATTTGATGGTACATGCTCATAAAATCAAGATGGATAAAATTTAGCTAGTGTTTCACAAAGAGCTTCCTACCAGTAAGGTTTTTGTAGATAACCCACCCCATATTTCAGACTAAGATATTCTCTACCTTGACCCCAGCCTCTAGCATCTCTAACTTACTACTCAGTATTTTCCTGGAGACATTTTGCTTTTTATCTCTGCCATCTACCTTACAGGGCTCATCATGGTACAATAACAGGAACCACATGTAGAGACATGAATGGCAGGAGATAAGTTTCAAAGCATTTGCACAGAAACACAGTACAGCTGAATCAGATCTTACTTTCTTTACGTGTGTTCCAGTCAGCTTCTCAAAATGGGATTTCCCTTAACATGTTTCCCCAGGAACTACCTTTATGTGGCGGTGGAAGAAGATTGTTTTCATGGTACTGATCTTATTCTGTGTAGTAATAACTGTATCTGCACTTATATGGTGTTTTTCTGGGCCTCTGTAGTCACACAAATAAAAACATTTCCAAGCTGACAGCAGTACCCAGTAAGTCCAGCTAGTAATATCACATTTAGATCCTACACCTTGATCACAATATAGATGATCTGTATTGTTTTTTTTCTCCACAGATAGCTTTGTCCAGAGACCCTCAAGACCATCCACAGAAACAGTCCACCACAACCCCCCAACCATTGAACTGTTGCATCGTTCCAGATCACCCATCACCAACAACCACCGTCCATCACCAGATCCTGATCAGCGGCCACTGAAGTCCCCTATGGACAACACTATCCGTCACCTTTCCCCAGCTGATAGGGTGCCGGGAACAAGGCATCAGCACGAGAACAACCAGCAGGAGCCCTATCCTCTCTCAGTGTCCCCGATAGAAAACAACCACTGCCCACCTCATTCTGAGGTGCTCCAGAAGCCTTCCAGCCCTCGCCAGGAGAACACCAGGGTCATCCAGCTGATGCCCAGCCCTATTATGCATCCTTTGATACTGAACCCCAGGCACTCCGATTTCAAACCGCCAAGGTTGTCTGAGGATGGGCTGCACAGGGAGGTAAAGCCAATCAACCTGTCCCACCGAGAAGAGTTAGCTTATATGAACCACATCATGGTGTCTGTATCCCCTCCTGAGGACCATGCAATGCCAATTGGAAGAATAGCAGGTAAGTGACATTCTGTAGGCTACACCAAAGTTGATGCTCTTCATTTATAACTAACCATGCTGGGTATTAAGAGTTTCTCGTTTCCTTTTGCCACTCTCTGACCTCAGGAGTTTACTGGCTTTCTGCAAGTTTCACCACATCTGTGGTTTAGACAGTTAAATATGATTAAGCCAGTTTTGTGGCAGGTAAGCAAAGGTGCAGAGTGACTTGCTTGTGACCACAGAATACGTAATTGGTATTGAAACATTTATGTCCTGACACTGACTATCTCTCCACCCACTAGCAATCCATTTCTTTCCCAAGATACCTATCTCCAAAACCTTGTCCTGCAAAGAGGTAGTTTTCCAACAGTTGGATTCACATTAGTGTCCAGTCTTATGGAAAGGAAAAAGCCCTCTGTCAGTGGCCTTTGAGATAATGCAGTGTCAAGCCCACTATTATGGAGATGGCGAGACTAATACCGCCTTGGAGTCCTACTTTGTAGGCTTTCCCATGCTTCTCACACTAGGATTGTCCCTGTTTTAGAGAAACAAGGTTGCCTTTGTCCCACACAAACCACAGGCATTGTCTCACTTTTGTTATTGTAAATAACTGACATCACAACAGCTGAATCAGGAAGCTGAGGTTACAGAAAATGTTTTTTGTACTTGAAAGGGAACTGTAAATAGATAGGGAAAGGGGGAAGAGGAATCCAGCCACTTCAGAAATACAATGAATGCTCCAATAACCAGTGTCTATTGAGAGATGTAAATATGCACCACACCCAAAAACATTCCATGCATTTATGTCAGCAGTGAGCTAATGTGATACACAGCTCTTGTGGGGTATTACACATGTCCAGAGAGGTACATTTTAAAACACCTTGTTCTTTTCTGTCCTTACATGCCTTAAATTTGTTACAGATGTGGTGCTGCCTCAGCTTTAATGAGGAAGATTTTTTATTTTCTTAAGACTTACCACTTTAAATCCAAAAGGTACATATCTCACCATGTAGTCAAACATCAAACACAACAAGAACTATGATCATTTCACATTATAGAGATGGGTAACAGAAATTAATCTTTTGATATTTTTGCTTGGCTGACATTTGTCTCTCTCCGTTTGATTGTTATTGCCCACACTGTTCTCAGCAAGCTAAGAAATGTACTTAATGTTACGGCGGAGAAGATACACTACTGGTTGCATCACTGGAGATTTCCTTTCGATAAAGTACTATTGGAAGATCAGGAGGTTGTTAATTTTTATTTTTCAGAAGGAAAAGTTCTCTAAGAATGAACCCTTGACTGAAAAGATTATAAGAAAAAATATGGGAGTTGGTGGTGGTGGGATTTTTCAATTTAAACCCAGGAGTTTTTTACATAATTGGGAATCTCTGTTTTCTGCACACTGTGCACTGGGTTCAGTGACACAAGCCCTGTAAATAGTGCTCCCATGTCCTTTCATCCCTGTGTTGTTTGCAGGGCAACAGAGCCCAAGCCCATGGATATTTAGGCCTCACAAAGTTGCTTGGCAAATATGTGTAGCAGTTTAAAGTGTTATGCACTGGCTGTACTTGCATGCTTAGTTGCTTTTACTTACAGTCTTGTGGCTTTGCTTAAACCCACCAGCATGGGTGGCATGTCTTAAAGAGCTGGTGAAGTATTTTGTGCTAAAAAGACCTGAGATGTATTCAAGCATTCAGTTCAGATGAGGCCAAGGGTTGGGTGATTACATAGCTGGTGGTTGCTGACATCTTAGATTTCTGCTGATAAATTTGCCAGTGCACTTCCATCAGTGCCTCACGTCCTTTAATTGTAAATGCCAACAAACCTCATTGGCTGTACAGGCATAAGGTAGCGGTATTCTGGTTGGGTTGTAATGGCTTCTGAACTGTAGCTAGACCGGATGAAGAGCTCACAGCCAATTTAAAGGTGACAAAACCCAGACTGCTACCAACAATGTAGACAGCCCATTTAGAGCTCTTGCCATTCATTACCTGATTTCCTTTTAAGGGCATTTCTGGTTTATGTTACTATAAATCTATTTTCCACCTGCGTGTCCTTACCTTCACTGGAACTGCCATAGTTAACATGGAGACTTTTGAGAAACCATGGCTTGTCACTTTGATTTGAGAGAGATGAGACCATGAAAACTATACCACTTGGCTTCTAAAAGGCAAATATACATCAATACAGATGTATTGTTACAAAGAGCCTTTTAAAAAATCACTGGCATTATTTCTATTTTATGGATGAGGAAGACCAATGGGTTGGGTAAAGAAAAGATTTACCAATGGTCCAGTGCCAGAGCTAAGTACTTATCTGTTTACACTGGTGAGAAGAGAGCCTTGACTTTCTACTGTCTTAACCGTTTGAATACAGGTGGTTTTCGTAGGATAAAGTGATGAGGAGCAGCTACCAGGGAAGCCCCATGGGCTGTTGACTAAAACATTGGGCTGAGCTCCAAAATACGTTCTATTCCCAGCTCAGATATTTTAAATTGTAAAAGGAATTCTTCCTGGACGTAAGATACCTCACAGCCTCTTAAACCTGTTTACTTGGAGATAGAGTCTTTTTTTAAATGCAGCATGCAATTACTTGATACTGAGAAAGAAAACAACGTTTTCACTTACTGCTGCCCGCAAATACTGTGTTTTCAGGTCAATCAATAAAGCTCTGGACTTCCTGTCAGACGAAATAATGACCTCTGCTCACCAGCTGACTAATCTTTCCTACCTTTTTATGTAATATCATTTCTCAAAATATTAGTTTTACTGGTAAAGCACTTTCCCTTTTACAGCATAGAATTTCAAGTTGAAGGTCTTATTCTCTTTTCCTCCAAGGCCATTTTACACTTTTCTAGCAAAGCAGACACATAAAGTATCTTTATGTTACTCATTAAGGTCCCATATATTATTCATCAGTGGCTAGAGTTCATTTTTAAAATTACATTTAGCTGTCTTCCCAACACAATATGCATGAGTCTTTTCCATAACATTGTCAGAACTAGAGGTCATTGCATTGAGATGATCCAAAGGCAGACTTGTATCCCCTGTAAGTACACCGGGCAAGGGTTAAGCTAAGTAACTCAGGCGTCAGTAGTCATCTAGCTATGACAGCACTTCCAAATATTAAAAACATCTCAGAAAGGGAGTTTAGCAGAGCAGTATGATGGACTGTTTTCCCCACTGGAACTACTAATTCAAAGCAGGAGTAGTGTTTGTTGGTAGTCACCTCCTAACTTGGACTCTAGCAAGCAGGCAGTCTATCTGGCTTACTTTTAGCTCTTTAGTCCGTCTTGGTTCCCCCCAAAGAGTCTCCAAGGATTTCACTCTGTGGGAAAAAGAAAACAACCTTTTTTTCCCTATTTCTTCTTTTAACGCAGTTGCGGTTTCAGTCAAGACAGGGACCTGAAATCAGCTCTTCTGCAGAATGGCAATTCCACTGCCCATGCACTACTGACTGGGAGGGTTTTGTTATCAAACATTTTAGGACTTTGATATCTCATAAAAGGTACTTCCTCAAGGTACAAGGACAGGCAGGGGTTGTTGCGTTGGCAGGCGTTCCTAGCATGTCGTGACTGAGGCATGCACTGCAGCCCTGGTGGAACCACAGCCACCAGAAACCCTCACTGCAGCCATCCTGAAGTTCTGCCCCTATAGCTTTCCTTGGGAGCTCTGCTGTTGACTTCAACAAGGGCAGGTTTTCACAACCAGACTTTATTTAGGTGTCAGAAATGTTGTTTTTAGTTCAAATATCCATGTCCACCTCTGCTTGTTAGCATGCAGGAAAATGGGAACTGCTATATTAGATCTCACCAGAAAACTGTCAGTGGCTTAAAGGAAGACACGGGAATCCCTGCAAGAAGCAGTTATGGGATTATCCAACCACAACAGGGTTGGTTTTGTCCTGACTTTTATTACATAGAGGTTGGCTTACGAACATCCACATTAATCTAACGACATGCTGGTATTTACCTCACTTTTGATTCAGTCACTTAAAACTCACTAATACAATTCTGCATGTTTCTTGTGAGGGGAAACACATCGCTGAGCAGGTTCCTGTGATTTCCAGCTCCTGGTGTCATTTTTGGTACTAGTTCTCTGGGACTGAAAGGCTTGTTCACCAATGCACAGCAAACACTGGCACTGAAACTTTGGGATACAGATACAACTACTCCTTTCCTCAAGCATTGCCCAGTGCAGATACCAAACAAACAATTGTATGAGTGTGAAAGGGAGAGTGCCACAGAGCAATGGTGGGTGCAAGAGGACTCCCTCCAAGGGGTCCCTGTCCTATTGGAATTGAGACCCAGTAAAACCCATTAAGTTCCAGGTTCACTGTGTGTGTCTGAGGCAGACCTATGCCACTCGTACAAGCAGCTTAGGAGGATGAGCATTGCTATTCCTCCACAGAGCCCCACCCTGCCTATTGCTTTTGGTTCTGCTCTGCACTTGTGGGGAGTGAATGTAAAGGCAGGTGAGTGTTGTGCCTGTTGCATCTCTTGGTATGCTGTTCTTACCAGCCGGGTTACCTTAGCAACTGGGCTGTATCTGACTATGAGCTGCTAGATTCGTTTCTTCCCCTTCAGGAGTCAGAGGAAAAGCCAGGTAATGTTTAAACTGTTCAGAGGCACACTGTCTACCACTGTATTGGTTTGGCCTATAAAACTATTGACTGCCATTGGAATGAGGACAGGCAAGATTCTTACCCTGCCAAAGTCATGAAAGAGATCTACCTCCAGGTTTGCTTCTGACTTGCCTCAGCCTCTCTGTGCCACACATCCAGAGAGCACAGGGGTGTAGCATGAACACCACATATTTGTAGCAAGACATGTATAAGCATCTTCTCAATAAAAACAGTCTGATGGCCGAAACTGAAAATGCAGTCCCCTGGTAAGAGTGCATCAGCTATGAATGACTCACATTCTACTATAAATTCTACAAAACAGCACTTACGATGGGCGTAGGCTATGTGCTAGCTCTGAGCATGGGGAAATCTTCCACACCAGAGCTCTGTAAG